GAAGGAAGGAAGGAAGGAAGGAAGGAAGGAAGGAAGGAAGGAAGGAAGGAAGGAAGGAAGGAAGGAAGGGAGGGAGGGAGGGAGGGAGGGAGGAAGGGAGGAAGGGAGGAAGGAAGAAAATGAAAGGAAGGAAGCCTGCCCTCAAGGAGCTTACATTCTACTTCTAGGTGCTCAATAAATAACTGCATTTTGCCCCCAGTCAAAGGGTAAGGAGATAGGAAAAGAGCACTTTGTTGCCCTTGATGAACTCAAGTCATCTAACCTAGATGAAATATGTAAACCTAAGGGTTGTTTGTGAAGATTAAATGAGGTGATAACTATAAAACACTTAGTATGCACAGTGCCTGGCACATAGTAGGTGCTATATAAATATTAGGTTTTTTATCATCATCAGGTACTGAAAGGATGTCAGTGATACCTGAAGAATGATGGAAAAATGGAAGAGATGCATGAGTGTGCTACAGCCAGTTCAAACTGGCTCTGGAAAACTAATCGTAAAATTTTCAGAGGAGCATTCACATCTTGGAAATGTATTGTTTTGTTGATTGTCTAGACTTAAGAAAATGATGGAGGAAATGTTAATGAAGCAGATTAAAGTTTAAAATGTGTCCTGCATACAACCACCACCAGAGAGCCAGTTGTTAAATGATTGCTAGCATGCCCCCTAGAGAGATGCCACAATATCAAATAAGAGGAAATTGCCCCATTGTGAGAGAGAGAGAGAGAGGAGAGAGGGGAGAGAGAGAGAGAGGGAGGGAGAGAGAGAGAGAGAGAGAGAGAGAGAGAGAGAGAGAGAGAGAGAGAGAGAGAGAGAGAGAGAGAGAGAGAGAGAGAGAGAAGTGAACAGATTAGACCAGTGTGCTTGACTTCAATTTTTGGGAAAATTCTACAACAAATTGTTAAACAGATGGTTGGAGAATTTCTAGAAACAGAAGCAGTAATAACAAAGAATCAGCATGGATTCATCAAGAACAGGTCATGCCAGACTAACCTCATTTTCCCTTTTGACAGGACTACTAAACTAGTTGATGAAGCTCATGTTGGAGATACAACTTGTCTAGATTTGAGTGAAGCTTTTTTATTAGGATCTCAAGCTCTTCTTGTGCAGAGAATGAGATGTGGGCTAAATGAAAACCCAATGAGATGGATGCTAAACGAGTCAGATGGCCAGACTCAGAAAGTGGTTTTCTAAAGAGCTGAATGGCAACATGATTTTTTTAATTAATTTTTTTCCTTAATTAAAACAACAAAACAGCAACGTGATAGGAGGTCTCCAGAGAAATTGTATGTTGAACATTTTTATTAATGACTTGAATCGAGAAGTAGATGGGTGCTCATCGAAGGTGTAGATAACAAAAAGCTGGGAGGGAAAGCTAATGGATTTTGGTTTTGTTGCTTTTGAGTCAAAATCTTCTCTTCAATTAAAAAATTATTAAGTGACGTATCTAATGTAACACAGAGAGTTACTACTTGCCATAACACCTAATCTAAGAAACTCAGCCCCAAATCATACAGTAATGGAGATAGAGCTGGAAGGGACCAGAAAGGGCGGGGCTGTGCTGATAAATGTTTAAAAAGCAGCTCACTGGTGAATGTTTAACAAGTGGCTCATTGAAAGAGACACACTTACTCTTAATCTGCATTATTAACATTTTTCTCCATAACTTTTTAAGTCTTGACCTGAAGTGTCAAACACTGATTCAGCAGCTAGCTATCTCTGGGTGCTGCTATAGCCAGTGGTCTGACAAACATCCTAAGGACTATGAGGGAGAATGAGAAAGAGAGAGGGCTCAGTGCTGCCCATCTCCACTGCCAGAGACTCAATTCAGAGATGCTGTCCTAGCGCCCGGGTCTGGAGGCTGGGCTTAACACAGCTAACACATTTTCATCCTGAGCTACCCACTTAACATCAGAGCAGAAGGAGAGGAGAATGTTACACAAAGCCGGCTCGCTCACTCCCTCCATCTCTGGTCCTCCTGGGCCCCATTAGCATTCTCTGCTCTCATTAAGCCTTGGCAGGAGCCATGACCTCCCATCAGCCTTCCCTGTGGAGGCCTGGCAGTTATCTAATCCAGATTCTCTCTCCTGAGCTGCAGGTACAGCTCAGAGTCCATTTCGGGTTTCCCAGACTCCTCCCTCAAATCTGCAAGGGACAGGTCTCTTCGCTGCAAATGAATTTCTCTTTCTATCGCTCTAAAGGAAAGATAACAAGGTCGCTTTGGACAGTTCATCCAATGGTCAACAAGACAACAGTTGGCAAGCATTTATAAAATGACTGCTGGTGCCAGGCACTATGCTAAGCTCTGGGGATACAAAGGAAGGCAAAAATCGGGTTCCTGCCTTGAGGGAGCTTCCATTCTAATGAGAGGAGACAATAAGCAAACAGCTATGTACAAATAAGATACAGTCAGATTAAATGGGAAGTAATAAGCAGAGAGAAGGCACAACATTAAGGGGGATTGGGGCAGCCAGGTAGAGCAGTGGATAGAGCATCGGCCCTGGAGTCAGGAGGACCTGAATTCAAATTAGGCCTCAGACCTAATACTTGACACTTACTAGCTGTGTGACCCTGGGCAAGTCACTTAACCCCAATTGCCTAAACAAACAAACAAACAAACAAACACATACATTAAGGGGGATTAAGAAAGGCAGGGAAGGCAGAGGAGGAGCTGCCATCCCCCATGCCAGCAGGCTCTACCTCCACCTCTGCCTCCTGGCTTCTCTAACCTACACTAATACTTTGGCTGGAGAGATAGAGAGGAAGAACTAACACCGGGGAAGGAAGAAATGGAGAAATGCTTTGCACGGGGGAGGAAGCTTGGACTTTGCACTGAAGGAAGGCAGAGGTAAGGGGGCCTTCTCTCCCTGTCCTCCCCATTCAGGAGGGTGAGTTCACAGGATTATAGACCACAGGCCCACAGATCTGGAGCTAGAAGGGCCCTCTGAAGCCATGTAGTCCAACCCTGTCATTGTACAGATAAGGATAGTGAGGCCCAGAGAGGTTAGGTGATTTGCCCATGGTCACACAGCTAGCAAATGACAGGTGGGATTTGAAACCCCAGGCTCTGACTACAGGGCCAGTGATTTTCTGTTGTACCATGGACCACTTCCCAAATGGGACGAGGAATCATAGGAGCCCAGATTTTGAGATGGAAGGGACCTTGGAGGCATCCAGTCCCATACCTTTCACTGCACAGAGTCTCGTGGAGGGGAAGGGGTTTGCCAGGCTCACACAGGTGGCTTTGGAGCCAGGTCCTCTGGCTGCAGGGCCAGAACTCAAGGCTACATTGCCCACAGAGGTCACCGCCACACCTGAAATTTGAAGGAAAGCATGGCAACAGCAGCTGGGGGAGGGGGATTTTTTTTAAAGGTGATATTGAAGAAAGACACAGAAATGCCAGGACTTGAAAGTGCAGCAGCTTGCCGGGCACCGGAGGCCCTGCCAGGAAGAGTAGGGAGCCATATGTTCAGCAACGTGTGGCAGGAGAGGACTGAGAATGCTATTATCTGTTATTTACCACAACACAGCGTACAAGAGACGGCACAAAACGACGGGCCTGGGAACAGCAGCTAAACAGATTTGCCAACAGTGCTTCCTGCTGCCGGGCCTTTGTCATCGATGCCCTGGGCTGAGCCTGTGGAGAAAAACAGCTACCGAGGCGGGAGGCTCACAGCTGGGGTTACCTTGGCCTGGAAGCTTGCCCAAGGGGAGAACGACCAGGGGTCTGGGGGAACAGGGTCTTCGTGGAGCATCTTGGATGGTGCCACCCATGCCCTGGCTGGCGCAGATACAACGTTCTTATTTTGTGCTGCATTTGACATTGCTGACCACCCTCTCCTCCCCCACCCTCTCTGTCCCTTTAGAACATTATTTCCTCCTGTCTCTCCTCCTATTTGTCTGACCATTTCTCCCGAGTCTCCTTTGCTCATTCTAGTCCCAGCTTTCTTACTAATTCTGATACCGGGCAAGCCTATGGGCCTTGGCTTCCGTCTATTATTTTTTTTTTTTGCTTTTAGGCAATTGGGGTTAAGTGACTTGCCCAGGGTCACACAGCTAGTAAGTGTCAAGTGTTTGGTCTGAAACCGGATTTGAACTCAGGTCCTCCTGACTTCAGGGCCAGTGCTCCTTGGCTTCCTTCTAGAGAGATCTCTCTGTCTCTCTCTCTCTGCTGCCTCCCAAACATTTAGGATCATAATTGCAAATGTTTATATAGCTTCGCAACTATCTTATTTGATCCTCACGGTGATCCTACTATTATTATCTCCATTTTACAAATGAGGAAACTGAGGCTGGGAGAGGTGAAGTGACTAGCCCAGGGTCAGCAACTATGACTAAACCAAGACTTGAATGATAATAATAGCTAGCATTTATATAATAGTTCATATGCATTATCTCATTTGAACCTCAAAACAATTCTGTGAGATAAGTATTATTACTATCGTTATCGTTGTTGTTATTATTACTATTATTATGATGATGAGAGAGAGAGAGATATGAAGAAATACAAGGAATTTCAATGGCTTGCCCAAGGTCACACAGCTAGTGAGTTCCCAAGACAGGGTTCCAACTCAGGTCTTCCTAACTCCAAATCTTGTACTTTATCCTACTCTGAAACAGATATGGGGCAGGAGGGGCCAAATAAAAATGGAACTCACAGAAAAGTGGGGTTCCCGAAAGAGATTAAGCACCTGGGGGTTGGTCACTTAGGATTTCTAGGCCAGCAGGTAAATCTATTCCTATAACCCTGCAGCCCACAAGGATTTCAGACGCACTGTCTGGGCTTATATCACAGTCAGGTAAGCAGTCCAGGTCTGCTTAAAAGCAAAAAGGAAAAATAATTCAATGTTTGTCAGCTATCATAGTGCACCCTAGGCAAACTTCTAGTATTGGTATTTTAAGCATGCAAAATTCATACTGTTAATATAAGCCTCCACACTTGTAAAGGATTCAGTAATATGACAGATATTAGTATTTAAGCATTAAAACCAGCAAAGGTCATCTCAGAGGAAATGGTCTGACTTTTAAAGGAAGCAATGAACTGTCCAATTGCAGACTGAAACAAGAAAGGGGGAGGGGAAAAAATTACAAACCTCAGAAATTTTATTATAGCATATCCAAGAAGAGACCAGATAGAGAATCTCTCTAGTATCTCCTTGCAAATGTGAGGGGTCCCCAAATTATCCCAGAATGAGACCCTACATTGTAACAGCTCACTGGGGGCTACTTCCCTAATTCCCACTAATAATGACAGGCTAGAGAAGAATTACTACTACTACTTCAGGGTTCTGATTTCTAGTACTATCATTCCTGAGCCCCCACCAGTGTGTTTTCCCCATTGATCGTTGGCCAGACTTACTTAGTAAATATCCTTTTAGAAAAGGTATTTACTAAGTCAGGCTGATGATCAATAGGGAAAATGTTTTAGATTACCTTTTAGAAAAGATATTTACTAAGCAAGGACAGTTCTTACAGAAACAATCTCCCAAACTGGGGGCACATTCTTCCCTCATATACGCAGTGTTTGGGGAGAGCAGACTTAAACTTATAGTAAAATGGTAGTAAGGCATATGTGTGGAAATCCATGTAGTAAAAGGGGCTCCTAGTTACTAGAAGTCTTTTTTTTTCCTTTTGTGTAGTTCTCATGAAGCTTTTCTTAGGTGTAGCTCCCCACTTGGCTCAGAGGGTCAGTTCCCTTACAGAGTCCTGAACTTGTCTTTTCCTCAGTATGTCTAGCTTATTCTCAGGTACTTCTCAGCTCCCAGTGTAGACCCTGCCATCAGTCACTGTTACCAGCTATGGTGGCTATGCTATTGACTCAGACAGGACTTTTAGGTCTTCTGACTTTTCAAAGTTCACAAGGTCATAACCTTGTTAAGTATAACTCTGAATACCCTGTTGCCTTTTCCCAGGACACCTTCTACTAACAGTCAGCATGTTTCTACTCTCCCCTGCATGGGTTACCTCTTAGTAGTCAATAGGGATTGGGGGGGGGGGAGAAGGAAAGAGGAAGAGGGAGGGAGGGAGAGAAAGGAGGGAAAGGGAGAGAGAGAGGGAGAGTAGGAGAGGGAAAGAGACAGACAGACAGACAGACACTCTCCTTTCTTTAAGAGCAATTCTCTCTCAGGGAACTGGAATCCTTAGCTCCCAAATTTAGTCTTCCCCCACTCAACCGACTGGCTCCAAACTAGCTTGATGCTTTCCTATGTAGCCTAAGACATGTGACTTACTCTTCTTCAATCAACCATAAGATATTTCCTATGTGGCTTTAGCCAATAATTCCAAGTCCCATATGAGCCTTTCAAATTGATTAAAGACTCATTTTCACCTAGTTTGCTTTTGATTATTTTATTCAGTCAAGATGTCTGGACCTTTTGTGATGAATTGGAGTGGGATGGAGCACTGCTCAAATTCTCTCCCCTCCCTGAAAACATTTGCTGTCCCTAGAAAATCAACCAGAGTGTTTTTGGCAAAGTCCATAGCTCCAAACTCTGGTTAGCTCTCTAGTGACTTCTGGGGAGTCACCATTGCTCTTTCTGAATGTTTTCCCCACTACCCTGCCCTCAGGAATATTAGCAAATGCCTATCAGAAGCATTTCACAAACAAATCTGGAAATTTTCATTCTTCCAAACTTGTAAATACACAGTGTGGAGTTACTTAGCAAACAAATGTCATTTTATAAAATTCTCATTGGTTGTCACCTTCCTCGGTGCTTGCAAAAAGGTCTTTCCCAACCCAAAACCAATTTTTTAAAAGAGGAAAATAAAAGCTAGCTTCCTATCTCAGAGGGAAAGCCTGGTCCATCTGAGCTAGCAAAAAATGCTGAGGTTTCCCCACATGGATTAGGAACCTAGAGTCCACCGGAAGTCACTCCCTCACCCTTCAAATGAGAAATCAAAATGTTCAGGGTGAAAACACTTCCATGATTCTCTTAAGCGTCATGCTCCATTGGCCATGCCCCATTTGGAAGAAAACTTGGTGTGGCAGTGAGCTAAGTGTAAGTCTACCATCTCTGAGGACCACGGTGGGAGAGGAAAGAGTGGGTCTCCAAGTTTGGGGGGAGGTGGGATGTGTATATTTCTGTTCTTGCTATACTTTCAGAGAAAATGTGCCTACATAAAAACTTTAAAATGAAAAAAAAATGGTACCATCTTAACTGGAGGTTAGATCCTTTCAGTTTCTTCATTTATATAAGGGATAAGGCCTAGAGATGTAATGCCATTGGTACAGGGATCTCTCAGATGAGGAAGCTCCACGACCCATGAAGTCTCCAAGAGCTCCCCAGCATCTTCAGACATAAATGACTTGGCCCAGGTCAAAAGATCAGTCAGCATGGATCAGAAGAAGCATCTTATAGTACACCATGTTGTGTCTAATGTTTTTAAAATACTTATAAGAACTTATTATGTGCTATATGTTGTTGTTTCAGTCACGTCTGACTCTTTGTGGCCCCATTTGGGGTTTTCTTAGAAGAGACACTGGAGTAATTTGCCATTTCCTTCTCCAGCTCATTTGAGAGCTGAGGAAACTGAAGCAAACAGGGTGAAGTGACTTGCGCAGGGTCACACAGCTAGTCAGTGTCGGAGGTCACATTTGAACTCTGGTCTTCCTGACTCCAGGCCGGGTGCTCTATCCACTGCACTACCCAGCTGCCCTATATGAATGTCAACTATTACAGTTTCCATATAACCTGACACCACATTCAGTACAGACACTTGAGAGGTGACTGCATATTAAGTTGAGATTTCCCTCCCTCGCTGCTACTCCCTTATCTTTGTATTTCCTCTATTAAAATGTAAGTTCTTTGAGGGCAAGACTGCCCCCCTTTTTGTATTTGTATCCCCAGTTCCAGGCACAGTGCATGGTATACAGTAAGTGCTTAGAAAATGTTGGGTTTTTAAAAATCTACCCATTCCCAATCGCTCACCCATGATATGTCTCACTTGTATTTATATTCTCAACAACTAGCACACAGTAGGCTTTTTAAATAAGTGCCTGTTGGTTGGTTGATGGACAGATTGCTTGATGCTGCCCGCTTTCTAGAAAGCCAAAAGCTGCCAGCCTCCACAGAAGCCTCTTCATCAAGGGCCCATCCTCTGCTTCCCTCATCTGGAGGAAGGTGGTACAAAGGGGCAGGAGACTGACAGGCTGCTTTATAAAAAGCCGCCTTCCCCATCCACCTCTGTGGCAGCAGGCTCCCCAAAGGAAAGGATGCAGGATGCCCAAGAAAGCCACCTGATCCTGCTTTGTGCTTGGCCGAGACAGACAGCGCCTGCGTCCGCCAGCAGACAGGCCCCCACAAAGCAGAAGACTTGTTTTGTTTTTTGTCTGAGAATTTGGGAAATAAAATCTGCCTTCATAACAAAGAACAAATTAGCACATGTGAATTAGGCCCAGGAAGGGAGTAGATTCAGGCGCGGCTCAGATGAAGAGCTCTTAGTCCAGAACCCTTTGCTTTTATGTCACTGAGCAGCGAGGGATTAGTGTGCAGGGTCAGGGGAGGACCTCAGTGCTGCGGCAGCCACCAGCCACTAACTCAAGCTAGAAAAAAACCTACCTCGTTCTATTTTTGGAGTGGGTACTGAAAGTTGTCGAAGTGGGGCAAGTTCTTTTAGGCTGCCGCTGTTTTTCTCCCCTCAATTAAGGCAAGTTCAATGAGCATTTATTAAGGGCCTTCCGTGCTGGGCCTGGAGTCAGGAAGACCTAAACTCAAATCCAGCCTCAGACACTTACCAGCTGTGTGACCCTGGGAATGTCTGTTAACCTTGTTTGCCTCAGTTTCTTCATCTGTAAAATGAGCTGGAGAAGGAAATGGCAAACTACTCTAGGATCTCTGCCAAGAAAATCCCAGATGGGCCCACAAAGAATCAGACACCACTGAAAAATGACTGAACAAATGAGTGAAATGAGAGAGTGAGGGTTGGACGAGATGATCCCTAAGGTCCCTTTCCACTTCTGACTCAGTGATCCTATCATAGAGAATGTTTGTAGTATCTACACCCTGAGTGCTTGGGACTGACGACCTGTGATGTGGGATTCTCGGGCTGTCCCCCACCATCCCCCAAATTCTACCACTAGAGACATAATCACCCTCTTTTAAAGGCCAGATGTTCTAGGTCACAGGGGTGGGGAAGTTGGATTCAGTCAAAGGGCCACACTTGAGGACCTAGAGGGCCACAGGTTCTCTACCCTTGCTCTAGGAAGAGAGAAGATATTAAGGCCTCTGGGAGCTACTGAAAGTTGGGGGAGGGGGACTCACCAGGATAGAAAGAAGCGATTTGGCCCAGGCCCAGGCTTGGTCTGCTTCCAGTCCACCCAATAAACCACTTAGTTTAATTTTGCCTGAGGCCAGGCCCTGGTGCTGTTATTGGAAAAACAGTCCTTATCTGAAATCTATAATGAGCTCTGCATACTTCCTAGAGAAAAGCCTTCTGGGAAGAAAACTGGGGCAGGGTGCTCTGGGCTTCTAGGAAGGCAGTTTGCAAAGCACTTCCTAATCCACATCTCCCAAAGCCGTCCTTAGAAAGTACAGCTGAAATGTTCCAGGTCTCAAAAGCTGATAGAATTCTTGTCTGTCTATCCACATGGAGGAGAGAGAACCAACCTCCATGCCAGGAGACCAGGATTCAGAAAGTCCTGCCTCTGATACCTACTGGTCGTGTGACCTTGAACAAGTCACTAACCTTGGGCTAGATCAGAAGGTAAGTGGTATAGTGGTAAAGAGTGCAGGACTAAAGATCAGGAAGAGCTGAGTTCAAATGTGACCTCAGATATATACTAGTAGTATGACTCTGGGCAAGTCACTTAATCTTGAATATAGCCTCAGTTTCCCCATTTATAAGACAGGGATAATAGTACCTACCTCCCAGAGTTTCGAGGATCAACGGAGATAATATATGTAAAGTGCTTCGTAATCCTTGCTATAATTATTCTTTAACCCCTCTGTGTCCCCAGCAACTCTCTGAAACTACAAGCCACAGACAAAATGCAGCCCTGCATTAGCAGAGGGAGCTGTGTCACCTGGAAGAGGTCCCTACGCTGCACGCTCACAGGTG